TACAATATACAGTTGAATTTATGAATCTAGGAAATATGCAATTTTAATAGCATTCTTTCCTTCCTACATTTACTCAGAAACTGACCTTCCCTTGTCTGTGCACACGAGGATTCTCTTCCTGGTCTAATTTGGTGATATGTTACCAGCCTTTCGCTCCTAAACCACTTGTACAATGACAAGTCTGAAGAGACTTTCCCCAAACCCTGGCCTACTCTTCCTCCATGCAGTATTCATGCACTGGCATGTTGAATAAGAGACATCTCTTAGGACTACAATCCTCAGCTAAGCTAAGAACACTCAACTTGAAACAGAGTGAGTTACAGACATAAAAGCCAAAGTTATGTTCCAGCAAATGCTCTGACGGCGACCTGTCTTGTGCATAGTTTTTTTGCTTTTGGAAGAGTCAAAAGGAGACCGAGATGGCAGGCGGAGGGAGAATGAAACAAGATGTAATGACAATTGAGAGAGCATCAGGAAAAAAGAAGAGCAATGCAGCAACAAAGAAACAACGACAAAAGGGAGTGAGTGGCAGTTTTAGTCTTTTTGTGGTTTAACTGCTCTTGTCTGGGAGGCTGTTACATTATTACATTACATTGCATTTAGCTGACGCTTTTATCCAAAGCGACTTACAATAAATGCATTCGACCAAGAAGATACAAACTTGAAGAAAACAGAATCATATAAGTACATCAGGTTTCATAGAGCCAAAACATTTCAAGTGCTACTCAACTGGCTTTAGATAAGCCAGTCCTTTGTTAGTATATAAGTGCTTTGTTAGTAGTTCTATCGCTCGAAGTGGAGTCGAAGGAGATGAGTTTTTAGTCTGCACCGGAAGATGTGCAAGCTTTCTGCTGTCCTGATGTCAATGGGGAGCTCATTCCACCATTTTGGAGCCAGGATAGCAAACCAACGTGTTTTTGCTGATGGGAACTTGGGTCCCCCTCGTAGTGCGGGTGCAGCAAGCCGTTTGGCTGATGCAGAGCGGAGTGCACGTGGAGTGTATGGTTTAACCATGTCCTGGATGTAAGAAGGGCCAGATCCATTCACAGCATGGTACGCTAGTACCAGTGTCTTGAAGTGGATTCTAGCAGTTACTGGAAGCCAGTGAAGGGAGCGGAGGAGCGGTGTGGTGTGGGAGAATTTAGGAAGGTTGTAGACCAGACGAGCCGCTGCATTCTGGATGAGCTGCAGAGGTCGGATGGCACATGCAGGTAGACCAGCCAGGAGGGAGTTGCAGTAGTCTAGGCGTGAGATGACGAGAGCCTGGACCAGAAGTTGCGTTGCTTTCTGGGTCAGGAGGGGACGTATCCTCCTGATGTTGTAAAGAGTGTATCTGCAGCAGCGGGTTGTTGCAGCGATGTTTGCAGTGAAGGACAGTTTGTTATCTAGGGTCACACCCAGATTCCTTGCAGTCTGAGTCGGAAGAAAAAGCAGCTCAGTCTTGTCAAGGTTGAGCTTGAGGTGGTGAGCAGACATCCACTGAGAGATGTCTGCTAGACAAGCAGAGATGCGTGCCTGTGTCTGATCGTCATTGCTGTTAATGAGAAAAGCTTAACGTGCGTGGAGGACAAGGCTCATTGTTCCTTCTCTACCCAAGCGCTTTTTACGTCGCCTGACATCCCAACTCAGCAGCGACGACCAGGAGAGCACATGACGCTGCAACTTTGATTAGTCATACGCACCCCGTCCAAAACCTGGTTACACTTAACATTTCTTTATCCTGTGAAATCAAGAAAAGGCACAGCTCACCTACGCACCAGACGCGCTCAACCTGTCAGATAGCTGCCATGTTAGCGCTCGCTGAGATCCATCACTTTCACACCGTGCTTACCAGAACACCACCTGGGCACGGCATGCAGGCCAGCGCGGGGAAATACGTGGTCTCTCTCTCACTCTCAGGCAGACAAGTTCACAGCCAGGCCGACACTCTGAGAAGTGCCGAAACACCAGACCCTCACCACCTGTCGCCCGTCTTATTGGAAGCATCACACTTACACAAAGTCTCTCACCAAGTCTGCAACTAGAAGGTTACCTGCATGCATTAAAAATGACAGCAGTTGTGAATAATCTTGGCTTAATATTATAATAAATTGACATTCAGCTAAACTTTTAACTGTTGTTTTGTTGCATGTTGAGCAGAGTGGACTGCTGAGAATCAATCACACACATTCAAGGACACACACAGCATCCTCTTTAGCCAAACAGCATATCCTCTGCTACTGCCAGTGTCCATGGCCACTGCTCACCAAACATGGCATCTGTCTGACATATGGGAGCTCTGTAGGGTCATCCAGACGAACACGCTTTCACCCGCTGCCTTCTGCCTCCCAAACCCATTCCAAATGCTGCCTTTTATCTTCCTTTGCCCCCTCATTTATTATCCTTTTTGAAAAATATATCTTTCATATTTTTCTCCTAACCTGAAACACTTAATCATCTTCCGCCTTGTTAGTCTTGTCTATGCTGCAACATCATTCCTTTCTTCTGACAACTCTACAAGAACAACATGGCACTTGATTCCCATGTTACATAAAGTCATCTCCAGATGAGTTCTGCTTCTGTTCACGTCTTAATGAACCATTATGCCTCCCTGCTGGAGCCGATAGAAAAGCCATGAAAGAAGGATCCGGTACAGGATACATGGGGCTGTTCAGGATCCGAAAGGCAGTCATCATCGGTGTTCAGCTGTGCCCTGATTGGCTGTTGTGTTACACTGAGCTGGAGAGAGCCGAACAGTGAAAGACGAGGGCGAGCCAGAGAAGGCCCCCCCCCCGGCCAGAGGACAAAGAGGCTCACCGCGGCAGTGCCAGTGTGGCGGCATATCATCTGTGCATATTGTGCTGTAGTGCTCTTGACTTACAGCTCTCACAGAATACTTTGCATGCAGTCGCTCAGCTGTGTGGAGTTTGGCAAAAGTGAAGTTCAACCTCCGTTATTTTTATAAATATAAAACATTTTCAAATGTTGCTATAGCTACTTCTGCAGATATCAAACTGTCTTCTACATCATTGTAGTCGGCCCCTGGATTTCCAAATGTAGCACTAGGAAAAGTTAAAGTGCTACGGGCTGTCATCGCTCCCATCCAAACCCCAATGGCATAAATGGCCTTTTGTGTGGGTGAAATATCATCCGTTGGGTGTCTCCCATACGGTGACATCTGCCTGATGAGACCGAGATGCCATATCCCAAAGCCTTCCAAAGAAAAACCTCTCCTTTAGTTGGCTTTGATGGATGACTTGTGCAGCCACTGCACTTTCCCCAGTTGCACACGTGCACGTGCGCTCTCTGGGACAAAGTGGCTGTAGCATCCAGCTGCAGGTCTGTTATCTTGGTGGTGCCATGTGCAGCGCAGCTATCAAATCAACCTATGTGCACGAGCTGGCTAAGCAATTAAACTCCAGGGCCCCGTCCACACTCGACAGTTTTAACATCTGGCATCCTTGTTCTGGCAAGTGTGTGCGTCTGAGTGTGAAAGCCGGCTCATCTGCTGCTATAATAAGCTACAAAAGGTACAATTGAATCCATTACAAGAACACAATGACTCATCATTACAGTGTCCTTCTTCCGACTGCTTGCTTTGGGTCGTTTCCTTCAATTGTTTTCTTGCAAATTCACTTTTTTTCTGCACACATCGTAATTACAGAACAGTCCTTCCACCATTAACCGATGTAATGTGAGAGTGGGTGGCCAGGGTTAAACATGGCGGAGGTGAGCTGTATGTTAGGACCTTGTGTTGTATCACTCTGTTTCCACTCTGACGTCAGCATGTCAGAGGACAGCTCCACATCCGTTCACACTGTACACATCTGACCAAACGAGGCCTGTTAAACCCTCTCTGTGATCATGTGCCCTATGACTCATCACTGGTTCATTCAATGAGGCTAAACGGCTGTTCTAGCAGAAGCGGTCAATATGCTCAACGCTGCACATTGACTTCATCGCTTCCACTCCTCCTCCGACTCTTTTGTCTCAGTACTGCATTCAGTACCTTGTGTCCAGCAAAACATACAACTCCTACACATTGAACAGATATTACACAGTTTGCTGTTTGCTTTCATGTGACCTGTGTGTCAGGGCAGCACAGCTTGAGTCACTTAGTACTTCATTAAAGCTTAATATTGCTACCATCTTCCATTATAAGCAACTAGTCATATCAGAGCTGAAAAGATCAGTCGATAAGTGAAGTGAGAGAAATATGAATGGCACATATTTTCCTCATCTATAATTGTAAATGTTTAAGAAAATAATGTCAAGGATTGATCATGTTTGGTTCCTGAACTCTGTGGGTGGGGAAAATAGATCACTGTTGGACGTGTTTCTACAATTTTCCACATTTAAATGGGCTAATTATTGAATGATTAATCCAGAAATCATGTATTAGTAAATTGAGTAGTGTGCATTAAGCTGATAACTTTAGGTTTGTTGCTTTTAATCAGCTTTGTTTGTACTTGGATACATTACATAGTTAAACATCAGAGATACCGTGACTGCCTGATCACTTGTTTACACTGTACAATAGAGCTCAGACTGTCTCAGGAAACTGGTACTTGGGGCTCCTCCCCCTTTAGCTGCTAGCTCCCTCAGGGTGTCCAGTGAATGCACTTGATTATAAATCACTGCTACAAACCAGTGAGGTGTTAGCATGATGCTATCATCTCCAGTGGCTCTACGAGTGTGAGTTGTAGCATGAAGCTACGGTGGAGGAAGCGTTGCCCCCAAAACCCTGAGCCCTAACGCAGCGCTCCGTATGCTGCCTTCACATTCCTCCGTGCCTCATCACCTGCAGTGACATAACCCCTCTGTGTGAGAGTTATCTCCATGCTGTTGGTCTTAAGAGGACACCGTGTTCCTTACATCCAGTGCTGACCTTCTCAAAAAAGTCTAATGTCTCCAGGGGGCAGAGCAGGTTGAAAGGACGCGTTGAATCACATGAATCCTCTCAAATCCTGCCTGTGACGCACTGATGTGATATGCTAATGTCTCTTCTCTTTGTGCCCTAGGTGACAGAGTACCTGAACAGTCAAGAATCTGCCAAGAGTGCCCGGGTAAGTCACTTCATCACAATCAGCCTCATGTCTTTGTCTTAAAGCAGCTTTTCTGGGGTTTGTCTGCCTCTCTGTGAGATATCTAATGTTGCCAAAACAAGACTACATTACAACCCTCATTACTTCTATACACCAACCACAGAGAGAAGTCTTCTCTCTCTCTCTCTGTCAAGATGTGACACATTGCATTGGCAGTCCCCATTGTCCCATATGGATTGCTGCCCACAGTCTGTGCATGTCCATACTGTGAAATGGGGGTGGGGTTGTGTGCTAAAGTGTGCACTGGGGGTAGAAATCGAGAAGGGGAAAACATGGAGAGTGAAAAGAAGGCAGCACATAACACACGGGGTTAAGATGAGTCAAGTCACACACACACACACACACACACACACACACACACACACACACACACACCAGCCAGAGGAAATGCTTTAACAGAACATGTATGGACCGTATAGTCAAAGCCTGATTGATCTGGGAATACTTACAGAGAGAAATATATATATATATTATATGTGTTTCTTCTATTGAACTAATGGGCTCTTTTTGAAGTAAAACAAAGGTTGAGACACAAACTGAACTGCACGTTTTATGGGATTTTTTTAAGGAGAAAAGTGTTGGAGCTCTTTTTGCATAGGCCACTTTTTATATTTAGACCTGACAGGAAGGTGTTTGTACAGATCCGAGGTGCATTTAAAAAGATCCCCTTTGAGCTCGCACAGATAGAAAATGGATCCCATCTTATTTTTACTCATGTAAATGTCAAACACGATGGCTCAGAGTCCTCCTGCGCTCTTCTAGTCGCCCCGTGGTTCTGCAGCATGCTCACACAATGAGGCAGTCGAGGTGGAATTGGCTCTAATCACAATTCCAGTTACTACCATGTTTTCAGGGTGTCAGGGAGGAGGTGAAAAAAAGGTAGCGTAGTGGGAGACGGGGGAATGGCAACACGAACAAATGGCTTCATTCATTCATCCTAATAACTAGTGCTAATTAGCACAGTCGCTAATTAGCTATGAATCACAGCATTAACAGCTGAGCGCGCAGGCTTCTGAGAGCCAAAAAAGGAAACATCCCACACACAGACCCTCACGCACACACACGCGCACACACGCGCACACACACACACACCCCTCAGACTGCTCTATTTCTATCACATTAAAGAACTATACTGGCTCCAGCTCCAAACTGCACACTCACACTCTGCCAATGGCATTTCATAAAGGCGACATTTAGCTACATGCTATCAGACTTGTGTGTTGGTTTATGAGGCGGGGCAGGTATGTGAATGTATAGGAGGAGAAGTGATAGGCTGGGGGGGGTGTTTGAGCCACTGTCAGCCTCAAATTTGGGCATGCACAAAGAGATGGATTGTCTGGATGATGAGGATGCAGCAGCAGCCTTCACATTTGGCTTTAAAGCAGTGACCGTACTTTGGACATTGCTGGCTTTTTCTCTCCCTGCCACTCTCTTTTTTATTTTCCTATCTGTTTAACATGTAATGTGCAAGAGAGGTCATTGAAGCCCCCTTCAAAGCCATTGGAGACATAACCACCCTTTTAGTTTCCTTTCATCATGGTCAATAACGTCTATCTCCTTCTTCCCTTCAGCTCAACATCTGGCGCTACGGGGACTTCCGTGCGGACGATGCCGATGAGTTCGGGTACAGGCGTTAAAAAGAAAAAACGGGGGATAAAAAAAAAAATATCGACCATCCAATCAACACCATTCCAAAGACCACCATGGACGGCACACATTGGACAGAAGACAGATGACTAAACGACAAGCATTGACTCAATCTTCCTTCTTTATTTGACATGTCATCCCTCCAGTCCTGACTTCTCTTCTGCTCTTGTTTTCTCCCCTGTAGCTCCACATAGAGCATGCTAGCAATGCTACATCTAAAAGTAACTCGTGCAAGAATCCCTTTCCCCTCATCCCTTTGTTCCTAATGGCCCACTGCCAGCTCAAGCAGCCTGCACTATTGCCAATCTGTGTTATTTGCCATGTTACCTTTTCAGCTGACTTACTGTGTGATTGATAATAATTATTATACTTAAGTGTTTCAGCCAATCACTTCCCTTGCTCTCTGACTCCTGCCCAGGCCCCGTTTCCTCTGCACAGGAAGGGGCCGGGTGCTCGCTTGATTTGTTCGCAAACAAATGCTTCCCTAATGAATTTCATGTAAATGTGAGGATATGTTGAAAAGTGTAAATGGTTTATTTTAGAGAAATACTGTAGGTGGAGCCACACAGACAAAAAAAAAAAGGATAAGTTTATTTTGTCTTCAATGTATATCTGTGTGATGATATTTGCGGATGTTTTTGTGGGGAGTGTTTTGTCGTTTATTCACTATGTCACGATTTTAATGACCAGTAAAAAAGGAATGCCATCACGAGGCATTTGTATCATCTCTCGCTCTCCTTCTGTAAAGTTTACATTCTGATAATGCTTATGATCCTGTCTCTTCTCTTTCTGTCTCGGATAGCCACAGCAGAAAGTGTTTGAATTTGTTTCCAATTAATGGACCTTTGCATTCTATTAAAAATCTGCTGAATAAAAATTAGCAAACTTAAAATGTTAATTGTGTTGTTGTTTTTTCACACACAAAAAAGAAGAATAGTGGAGTTACAGTATGTGTTGTGCTTCCTGTAGAGGACCTGGTTCTAGTCAGAAATTGGCTTTAGAAGTAAAAAACTAAATTACTGCTACGCAGATAAAGTGTTGTTCCTTGAAAAAATAAATAAACGGAAAGCTGCAAATGCAGATAGAAAAGCCTGCATACGCTTGATATAGTTTTACCTTCTCATACAAAACAACTTAATAATACTCATCACTATGTAGTGTTTTCTTCTATATTTTCGACATACTATGCAATTTTTTTCCAAATTCGACATTCGGCTAAGTAGAGGGAAATGGAGACAATAACACAACAACCAATTCATTTGAGGCAGTCAGAGTGATTCTGAGAATATATGAATCCTCAGAAAAGTAGTTCCAGTGAACACACAAAACTCTCCAAGTGAGGGGGAGGAAGGGACTATATGATTGTGCAAAGCAAGAGATACAAATATATATCAAATATATACTAGGCTTGGCTTATTCTGCCCTTTGAAAGGAGCAAACCAAAGCCCTCACTAACTTATCTACTCAAATGTCTTCAAAAACAAATACAGTGTGGCAACAGTGGATACATCTACAGTCTCTTAACAAGTTCAACTAGGTGATGAAGATTACAGAGGGTATCAAAAACCCATACCCGGTAAACCTCCAAACCTCCACCCACACACATTTTATTAAAAAAGCTAAACAAAAATACAGTGAGCGAGAAAGAGGGAAACGGCTCTTCCAGTTACGCCTCCTTTACTGTGGGTTCTGCATCGGATTGGCCAGCTGAGAGTCCGATGAACCAATGAACAGCCAGTCTGGTGAAGACCTGGGGAACAAAGGGAACAAGAGGAACGAGAGCAGAAGAAGTGAACAAGCAAACAAGCAAAGACGGTCTGGCATCTAACAACTATTTCATCATACTATACTCACTTTTTTAAACACACGTGAGTTTTCTCCATATTTTCAACTTAGACTTTTTATGTCATACTAAAGCATTTCTATATTGCATATGCTTGGTTGAAGCCAAAGAGGATGCAGCCAAAGCGTAATGTAACAACTCTACAATATACAGCAGTATTCATAACATTGGTACCTCATTAAGTCACCTTGGTGAAATTGACAAGTACATCTTCATCGAAAGTCAAACCATAGCAATTAGAAAAAAAAACATTCCGATTGTGGGACATGAGACAGATGCTTCATTTACATTGGAGATGTACGGCAGATGTTTTAAACCACAGTGGACATCTATTGGTACAAAAGTATGACTGACATTGTGAGGCATTAACAGTGACTAACGTTTGGATCTTGATTGAAAATGTCAGACACATAGTAGAACAATGTGAAATCATTTCGTACCATATGGACAAACATGAGGTGCTGTTATAGAACAAGAACGACTCTTTTTGCAACATAAAGCACTCTCATGGCAATCCTTTATTGAAGAACAAATGGAAATCACATTCCCTTGCAGTTTAAAAAGATATTAGTTATACTTTTTTAATGTTATCAATCAAATCGGAGAAGAAACGTCTGAGGAAATATCAGAAAACCTCCTACAGTATGTTCCAGATCTCACGAAGGGGTGCGTCGGTGTCGGTGTGTAATTGACAGGCAGAGCACGGAAAATAAAGAGACGCTAATGTTCAAAGAAAGCTGTAGTTTAAAGAAAAGGACAGTCGGAGTGTTAACAGCACAACAGGCAAAGGTAGTTTAGCCTTTAAATGTCTAATATTGTAAAAAGTGAGATTGCCAAGTCTTTTTATAATTATAAAGCAGGTCAAGTTGCTATAATACTGTGAAATGATCAAAATGCTCCACCAACAGAGTGATGAACACAGCCTGTATTCAGAAACTGTGTCTCAAAACAAGCTGCCAGGACTTCTGTTAGGTTGTGATGAGCAGAAGAAGAAGAGGAAACGCTGACCAATCACAGGAGGCAGACAATGTGCGCATGAGGGCTTAAAGAGAAAGGCACTCCAGAGGATACACTACTACAGCGATGCTCAGCCTAACAGTATGAGTTTTGAACATTCAAGTATGTAAACATGATCTAGTAGAAAATATAAATACAAGTTTGTGAGTCACCTGAAGATGAGCATAATATGTCTCCTGTAGAAATGACCTGATGACTTATTACATGTCAAAGTACCTGTAAGTCATTTTAGATAATATGCTCAAGATGGCGCAGACAAATCAACTTCCGGTGATACCGAGACCGAGGAGCGAGGAAATGAAAAATAAGAGAAGTGAAACGCACCCTAGGTCCCCAAAATGGTGACTTCAAATCTTTGTATGGATTCACATGAACAAGTTCTCCATCTACACATTAGTACAAGCTCATCACGTTTAGGCTTGTTAATATAACAATAGCTTGCATCAGGACAAAAACCTATTACATATACATTTGACACTGATGGGTGTTGATTAGGACACGCAAGACGTGATTACAGAGAGGATTTGCAGGCTATTCAATTCTGATTGGACTTCAACATGAAAAGCAACGGGAACAAAAGCGTACCTGGTTGTTTTTGTTTTGCAGTGAAACACTCTGAAGACCAGACCAGAGGTTGTTATTGCAAACTGGGTAAACTAGATACAAATGTTCCTGCTAAAATTATGATTTTGAAAAACAGCCTCAGCCTGGAAGACATGTTTTTCAATTAGACATGGCAGGAGCACTTTCATTCTTTATGACTTGCTCTGTGGTTGATAGATGGCTCACAGTTTTGCATGATCGCAGTAAAAACCTGAGGCGTAAATTACTTTCCATGACAGCGCTGCTTTGTATCTGTTTTAAAAGCTCATTCTGAGGTTGGTAAAAGTAATGGTGCCATTAAATAATTCACAAATGATGTGTTGAATTTAATGTCGGAAGGGTTACTGTGACCAACATCTCCCCGGGATGCCAGTCTTAATTCCAGGTGCCACACAGCAGGAAGAGCCACCAAATCAAAGATGGCCCGAGCAATTTATCACCGGTGTTCACGTCTAATTACCAGAGGTTGTGATGAGAAATATGCTCTAAGGGCAATTAACTTCCTGTCTGTCTTGTCAGCTGACTGAGACGACTTTGTCTTATAGATCCATGTCCTTCCTTTTCCTCACAAACTATCCGTCCGTCCTCCTCCCGTTTCTCTCCCTATTTGCTTAATTTCTTTTTCTCTCAGAGCTGATGAGATAGCTACTGGGCCTACTTACCGAAGAGAAAGAACAAAGGGAAAAGAGAAGCGATAACGGGAGATATGAAAAGTGTCTGTCTGTTGGAGTTGTAAGCTGAGCCTTCTGGTTTCGGTTCCTCTCTGTTTGTAAAGCTGTCATAGTTGAAACAACGCCCAGCAGACGTAACACGCAGATTACAGAGGGCTGTTGTCAGCAAATTGTTCGCTTAGAAATGTCGATTATTCGGTGCCTTCCGCAGCATCGGAGGCAGCCAATTCAAAAGTGTGGCAACAACAGTTAAACCATGAAATGTTGCCTTGTTGGGAATGATTTGTAAGAGAAAGAGTCACCCATCAACAAGGTCCTTTTTTTCTTCTTCAATTAGGCAAAAAACGGTTTTTCTATGATCTGGCCACGCCTCAAATATAAATGTGATACCAGCTACAAGACAAACAAACTAAAAATTGATGATTTGTTGCAGACAAGAAGCAATGGTATGAAGAAGTATATATTTTGTATGAACCAGAGGCATGTTTACCCTCTGAGGGGTTTGAGAGGGGGAAAAAAGCATCTCAATAATTCACAAACCTGAGAAGAAAAGCGAAAATGCGAGAGTTTTGATAGAAGCTCCGGATGGGTTTCAGTGCCATGGTTTGTGTGAGCTAAATAAATAAACGTGACTTGGTCATAGACTTTATCATTATTTATGTATTTTGTTTTAACGTTTCAGATTTTATTCAATCTATTAAATAAGAAGTCAAACATATATTAAATATGTAATGGATTATTCAAAAGCAGGATTATCTTTAGATGCCATCCTTGACAAGGGGCTTAAATAAGATGATACTTGATTAATTCTTATTTCAACAGGCTTGGGTCCCAGGGTCAAATATGTGGCAGACAAAGTTAATTTTAATCCATTTATAATGTCAATCTGCTCGTCTGAATTGTTAATATATTGTTCATGCCACTTCATTTCATGCCTTCTGTGTCTAAAAGCAGTGTGCTGCTCCCCTGTCTTGTCTTATCTCTCAGAAACACCCGCTCACGTCCGGCCCTCTGCCCTCTGCCCCCTGCCCCCCCCCCCCCCCCCCCCCCGTGCCGCACTTTGTGTCCAAAATGTCCCGGCTTCAGGATCCAAGCCCCCGTCACACCGGACAGAACATGCAATCTGCTCGCTCTGGATAAAATGATAATTTGAGGGAAGGAATGCTTCACCTGTGTGTGTGTGTGTGTGTGTGTGTGTGTGTGTGTGTGTGTGTGTGTGTGTGTGTGTGTGTGTGTGTGTGTGTGTGTGTGTGTGTGTGTGTGTGTGTGTGTGTGTGTGTGTGTGTGTGTGTGTGTGTGTGTGTGTGTGTGTGGGGCACCTCAACCATCACAGACAGAAACATCACAGCTGTGGGGAGGTAGAAACAGGGTTTATTATGTACTCCATCACATGTATGAGGGAAGACATCTGAAGCTGCATTCATGTGAAGAAGTAACCTTAAAAACAAGAACTATTAAAGTATGCTGTATATCAAAAAGGAATGTATTAATTCATTGCGCCACAGGATGTCAATAAAATGTCAAAACGGCCCATAGTCAATGAAGCCCCTGCAGGGATCGTATCTTTCTCGATAAATATGTTGTATTTTTTGAAAACATATTTTTTACAATTGGGTCAATCATTAATGCAATCAACTTGAAATGTAAAAGTCAAGTTATTCTTTGGAGGCCTATATGTGTGCTGAATGTCTTGATTATACTTTTATTGATGACATTATCACTAGATACTTGAAATTGGCTTACAGCACGGCAGCATATTGCTTT